CACAAAAGTTGAACACTTTTAATAAACAATGACTGACAGTTAATGTGACGATAAGTAGGTTAGGTTAGTTTTGAGGGGGGGTGCGGGGGGCGCAGCCCCCCGCTAGTCATTCGATATTGCAGTTATTATTCGATATTGCTCGTTAACGATACACAGTATCGTTTTTGTATATACAGTGTCCAAAAATTATACTCATTTTATGCAACTTCTTTTGTTAATAACTAATGTGTGCTACACACACATACATACACATACACACACACACACACTGCTTAGCCGCCCGTGCGTGCATATGTATATATAATAGCAACATACGCATCCACCGCACGAGCATACAGATATATTGTTCATCTTATTTCAAAAATTAAAGCACGTATTACCATATTTTAAGAATTAAAGTATTTAAGAATTTATTCACTCATTTAGTTATTTAGTGGATACATCTCTGCCATAATTTCGAAAAATTTATCGATTCGATCGGAATAAGTATAAAGTCGTTTTGCAACCCTAATTTAAAATGTGCAAACCAAGTTCCATGTAACATAGATAATTTAAAATTACATGTTACTCTTTGTCTTTTTTTGTGCGTTACTTTATGTTTATTTGTACAGTGAAACATCAAATTATGGTTTGCAGTTTGCTGTTGCACAACGTTTTTACACTTTGGACATTTGATTTGACATAAAATTACTTTTTTATCACACAAATAAGTTAATAAATTATCTAAATTATGCGTTAAAGGAACTCGTATAGAAACATGTTGCTTCGCCAAGAGTACTAGAAAGACTAATGTAAACACTAACAATGGTAAGCACGATAAACACGGTCGTATTGAAAGATAAATATTAAGTAAATATTATATAAAGTAAAGAGAATTAAATTCCTCATATACACGATGTCTAATTTCAATGTATACTGTGTCCAAAAATAACATTCATTTTATAGAACTTCTTTTGTTAATAACTTTTTAACAAACAACGACCCCCGACTAAAACCACTTGAAGGTTACTCAGAATGATGTCCTTGATAACATATCTCAAAAGCAAAGTGATTGGAGCTTGGTCCTTTATACGGAATGTTTACCCTGAGAACAATAGACAAACGGATTTTAGCCGATAGACAGACAGGGCGCCGGACCGATCCTCAATATCGCCCTACGTGTCTCGCTCAAATTTATTTCAACAAAATGCACGACCGATCCAAAATTCATGGAGAAATGATAATTTCGGAAATCGAGATCGCTACTGCCTCCAATGTACTTGCGTTCATTGTCGTGAGCTGGGCAACCTTCGCGAAATCCAACGCAAAAGTGGTGTTGCTACTATAAAAACCAGGGGCATAAAATTCAAGAGTGCCGCAAACGCGATTACAATAACTCTTGGAGAGAGTCAGAAAACGCGTTCTACCCTTCGAGGCTGCCGGACAGGCCCCAAGCGGGAACGAGTCCAAAACCTGCGCACCCGATACGCGCGATCAACGAGACCTCGACTCGAAATCGTAAACTGCGATGACCCTTCGGACGCGCTTAACGTTAACATATTAACAAGAATATTAGTAAACAAACTAGCGCGTGAAACTAACTTCATGGTCGACATCGGAGCCGCGTTGAGTATTATAAAAAGAAAAGTACTACATCCCGATATAAGAATCAATACTCGCGACGTGACTATCCTTAGCGGAATCACGGACGGGGGCATCAAGACAGTCGGATCTAGCACAATAAGATACATGGGTCACGATACAACGATTTTCCTATTCCTCAAGACGATATCCTAGGATATGACGTCTTAAGAAACGTTACAAATTTA